CTGGGAAGAGGGCAATGATGGTGCCAACTTGGGCCAGTGAAGCAATGTCCTCCACAACCAGACTAAAGAACAAAAAGACAGCAACTTGTCTGTTCCCCTTCCCCCAATTCCCCAATAAAAAAAAAATCTAAAAAAAAACCAAACAAACAAAAAAAAACAAACAAAAGTCCACCCCATTAGCCTTTCCCCTAGCCCATCCTGGGTGCTGTTTGTTTGTTTCTTTCCCACAAACCCATTTATTCTCAAAGAGCATTTTGTGTTACCATTGTTCATCATAATTTAATCATATAACTTTGCAGAATTTATATTTTATATAATTCAAATGGGGTTTAATTAATTCTGTATTTCTGACCTGTTTTTATGAAGGTTCACTCCAATCAGCATTACTTTTAAAAGTAAGTTATGCTGATGATAAGTCATGCTGAGGTTTTAATTTCAGTTTGAGATTTCATAATGAGAGAAAAGGACAGATTCAGAAAAACAGATTATTTCCAAAGACATTTTGGAGAGGGCTGATATTGATTTTGTGTTAGGAAGGCTATGTAGTGTAATGGTTAAGAACATGAACTTTAAAGTTTGATAGACTTGGTCTAGGTCCTGGTTCTGCTGGATGACCTTGGGAAAATTTTTTATCCCTTGTGACCTTGAATTTCTTTGTAAATTGTAATAATAATATATTTCTCTGAGAGGTATTATTAGGATTAAATGAGAATAAAAATCCAAGTAAATCATTTGACATAGTGCCTGGCATGTAATAAACACTCAGTATGTGTTATTGTTGTTATTTCTAATAATGTTATTGGTTAGTGATTTATGTAAATGTAGGGTTTTTTTCTCCTAATTCCTGAGTGGGTAAAAGGTTTGAAAGTGTATATATTAGCAGACCTTGACTATCATCTTCTGATAGTAATCAGATCCTTTTTAAATATTGCATAGGCCAGGATTGAATTTAGATACTTGATATATTTGATATCTGAACCAGATTCCAGTCATCTCACTGCAGATTAATTTTATTTATAAACTAGAAATTAAAGCAGTAGTACAAGCTCATATTTATGATAGCAAACTGATCCAAGATTTTGTAGTTTGTAAAACTGATAATGTTTAATGTTCTCCATAAATTCATGAGGTTTAATAAGAAAGTACATAGACTTTTTAGAGCTTGAACATAAAGATACTCCAATTCAACCCTTCATCAAGTTAGAAAACTGTGTAGGCAAGTTGAATGAAGAATCAACTAGATTATTTATCTTTGTGTAAGATATAGATAAAATTTTGCAAAAGAAAGAGCTACGTAATAATCATTAAATTATCATCACTCCAAATTTTTATCTGATTGTTATAAATGAGTATAAAATAAATTTTAGAGTTGTGATCAGTGTATAAACCATTCTGTGTGAATGTTTTCTTTTAGTATTATTATCCTTTAAATTTTAATTGCTACATAAGGTTACTTTGTTTGACCTGCAATGCTTGGTCATTCATGTGTTGTTGGGTATTTGAGTTATTTCCCACTTTTTCCTATTATAAATAGCACTGCTATGAATATCTTTTCAGCTGTCTACCCTCCCCCCCCCAATTAATTCCTAGGGGAATATTCCCACAAATTAATCAAGGTATAATATTACATTTTAATATCTACTGATAGGTTTGAACTCATTTCACATTTCACAAGTAGCTTGGTATTGGAAACTCAGATACTAGAGATTTTTGACTAAATGTCAAATCTAGATTGTTAGATATTTGCTTTTCATTAAGCAGAAAAATCTTTTACCAGCATAAAGCGAGTTACAATGAGTTTTTTTAAGGTAAAAGGAAGAAGAGAAGGAGCAAGAAGACCCTGGGGACATTTGACAGTTTCCTAATTCCCCGAGTCTGATTTGAAGAATGTTGTTTTGTTTTCTTACACTGTATATCAGGTACACTCCAATTTTTAAAACTAGAGTTAGAACTATTTTAAAAATAAATACCTAACATTTTTATATTAACCATAAATAGGCTTCTTTCCATTAGTGTAGATGTGAGCATGTTTTGGACTTCAACATCACGGAATGAATTCTTTTGTTACAGAGATCTACTTTCATTTTTCAGTCCTTAAATACAGATGTGAATTTCTGTCTTTATCGCAGTCCAGCTGCCAGATGCAATTCAGCCTTGATGGGAAGGAAGTCCTGTGGCCAGATGGGTGGAGATCCATGGTACAAGGCCATAAAGATAAAAATGGAAAGAAAAGAAAGACCGTAAGGGCTTCAGGACAGGGCTCTGTAACAAAGATAAACCTGACTATAGGCAATGCTTATTCTGAGGGTAGGGCTTCTTGAAAATTGTGAAAGAAATGAGTTTTTCAGTTTTAGTTTATTTTTGGTGTAGATAGTAATTTTACACAGATCAAAATTCAAATGAAAATTGTTTCTCAAATCCTGGTCCCCAGCCACTAAGTTCCCCTCTTTTGAGGCAACCAGTATTACTAATTATTTGATTATCCTTCTAGACCTATTCTGTACACATACAAGTAAATATGGGTATATACATACATGTATGTTTCTGTGTATACACACATGTATTTTTTTTAATTATTATTAAAGCTTATTGGGGTGACAACGGTTAGTAAAGTTACATAGGTTTCAGGTGTATAGTTCTGTAATACATCATCTAAATATCACATAGTGTGCTCATCACCCAGAGTCAGTTCTTCTATCACCATATATTTGATCCTGTTTACTGTCAACTACCACCCGCCTCTCTCCTTACCCTCTGGTAACCACTAAACTATTGTCTGTACCTATGAGTTTTTGTTTCTATATTTGCTTGTCTTGTTCCTTTGTTGCTTTCAGTTTTATATCTCACATATCAGTGAAATCATACGGTTCTGACTTATTTCACATAGCATAATAATCTCAAGATCCATCCATGTTGTC